TATTATTATATATATATATATATATATATATATATATACACACACAGGAACATAAATTTTTTAAAATTTCTCATTATAGCGATCGAAATATTTGTAATACAAATCATACGTATTCCATTAAAAATTATATTCTTCATATTTCCAACGTTATGGTGAATAAAGAAATTGTTATACACTACCTAATAACTTCTATTCTTGTTATTATAATAACGGAGAAAAAAGCGTTCGAGAAAAGATTTTACATATCATTATAAATATTTTCCATCGGTACTAAAGGAGCGATGTTTAATTCTCGATGGAAATCAACAAGAGGTTGTTCCCAACGTTCCTCGAAATAAATACCCAAAAGAAATTTTGCTTTAATTCCTGTGTTAATAGCCCATGGAAGATAATGATCAAGATATAATTTTCTTTGCCTAAAAAAAGAGTGAGAAATTAAATTAATTTTGAGAATTAATTAACAAAAATATGAAAAGATAGTGGATATTTACATTGACAAAAAAATATTTGGATACTATTTTACTATATTACTTCAAAAATTTGTTTGGAAATTCTAATTCAAATAAAAATGTCAAAAATTTTCATTAAAATCAAAATTTTTAGATTCACATAAATGAAAGATAGGATTCTAATATTTTTGCGATTCAGTATATGTTTATAAATATTATGCATTTCAAATCATATTTTACATTTAATTTACCTTGGACGTAATCGAAACGCTCCAAATATCGCTCCGTTCAAACACATTGGCAAACGTAATTGCAATGCTTCTATCCATTTAACTGATACTTCCCCGAGCATTGTAGTTGGCATCAAAAGTATAGCATGATAAATATCATGTGTTTCCCGATATCTTTGCATTACATATGCCAATTCAGTATCTTGGACAAATTTGACCATAGTTCTAGAATCGGGAGATACGTTCTATAACAAACATATATATTTTTTTCAACATATTTGTCTATAAAATCATTTATTTAAAATAAAATGATATATATTAGACTTCCTCTTAATCAATGGAACCGAATTACATTAATATCAATATTACCGTTTCATCATCATATTATTATCGTTTAATATCATACATCGGATAATATCATTTATTGTGTCTAAATAAAAAAAAATATATATAATATTTAATATCAATAGCATAAAAAAAATCTAAATATAATAAAATATAATACTGTCAATATCATAAATTAACATATAATATATAAAGAAAGAAATAGAATAGAATATAAGTTTTATAAGTTCTAAGAAAAATCACAATCCATTTTTATTAATGATTATCAACCAATTAAAACAGAAGAATAAGTTTTATAAGTTCTAAGAAAAATCACAATCCATTTTTATCAATGATTATCAACCAATTAAAACAGAAGTTAATTAAAGCAGAGCCAGATAAGAAAGTAATAGATAAAATAGTTATTATCTAATATATTAATATTAGATAATTAAATATTAATATAATACTAATATTGATACAATACTAATATTGATAATATTTATAATGATTATTATAGAAAAAAATTATATAATATGCAAGAGAATAATAATCAACTTTTGTAATTGCAAAACAAAATGTGCGAAATCACTGAAAGAGCTTACATTTACTTCCAAGAAATCGTAATAAATTTTTCCAAGAGTTCCTGCTGGTAATCGTTTTAGCGCGGAAAAATCAACTGTTGAAGAGGATATGCGTGGTTTTTCGGCAAGAATGCGACATCCCTCGGAGGTTGCAAGCATTTGCCGATGACAATAAGAAAGAGCATCAGTACCGGTTGTTTCTGCCAAGCATGCGATCATGTCACCTCGATAAGGATTGAAAAGTGATATCGCAGCAGCACCAACCGTCAAAATCGCGCGTTGTACCGTTGACAGAGATATATGATGTTTCGCGTAATCCACTGTGAATGATGATGAGACATCGTTGCTGTAAAATCTTCGAACTAGCCAGCCTGAAACTGATCAAGGATAATGACGATCGATCATTCCTTCTTTACAAATTAAATTTATTTCGCTAAAATAGTTCTATACACGTGCATTACTGATAATATATTGCACTTTGGAAATATATATTTGTACAAGTTGTATTTTACATCGTTATATCACTGAAATAACTATCAGTATATTCATATCTTATTTGGTAACGTTATTACGCTTTGGTAAGTAAGATATATTATATTTACTTATAATTATTTATGATATTTGCTTTGTTCCATTTGCTCTTTTCGTATTTTCATTTTGCTCTTTTTCTAATTTCCAATAGCATAATCTTTTTGAGTACAAACAGACTAAATGGCTAATGAGAGAAAATGGAAAAACACAAAAAGAGATTGGGAAAGAAAAGGAGAAAAAAATAAAAATTATTGTAAAAAGATGAGATTAAAATAGTTACATGGCACGATTTCATTTATATTAATCATACAGCTTGCACTTTATTTGTTTGTTCGTCAGAAAGGGAAGAATATTTTGATTCGGTTGATTCCTTTCTTCGAAACGTTACCCAAGTATATACTAAACTACCGACAACGCTTAAATTCAATCCTATGAAATTTAACCATGTAAAGATATAATCACCACCGATAATCATTCCGAGATATGTAACACATATATTTTTTAAACATCCAATTATTGTAGTAGTTAACGCAGAATTATAAAGTGTACAAAGAATCATGCTATAGGATAGTATAAAACCCATAATACATGAAAGTCCAAACTGTACAAGGAAAAACACATTATCCCAATATGGAAATTCTAAGATTGAATGCATATCTCCCATCCAACACGCAATACTAATCGCTGGGACAATCATAAATAATGAATTATAATACATTAGTCCGTATTTTCCTAGTTCCTTCGAATCCAACTTCTTCTTCATGTAGACACCATTGGCGGCCGTAAAAAAGTCGTTTAACAGGATAAAAAGATAGCCCTCCGCATTAAAAGCAAGATCGTTTAATGCCGCTACTACAGCTCCGAGAATCATTGTGTATACACTTAATTGAACAGAAATACGCGCTTTTATTCCGAGAATATAATATTCGGCAATCATCGTCATAAGAATACTAAATCGTCTAAGGGCGGTAAACATTGGAAGGCTAAGTTGTTTAGTACCACCTAATCCAAATATCATGTTACCGATGTAAATGATGGGTAATGGCCATATCTTGATACACGTTGCTCGTTCTAGGTTAGGAAACTCAATGTAACGCAACTTTTTTGCTGTGAAAAGTAATATGATAGTAGCCACCATTTGTCCTATGCCAAGCAATTGAAACGAAGGAAATTCAAATGATGTTAGCACAGTCTTATTTATAACTGTGATCATAAATGAAGACAATCCGTAAAATAGAGCGGAACCAATTCTCGCGAATATCACATTTTTATGACTCCACGGCATACCGATTAAAATATAGTCTTCAATAATTTCGTCGCGCTTAATTTTTCTTCTCTCAATTTATTTCGTTCCAATTATAATTTTCGTACTATTAATACGTTGAATTTATATCAAATTTGATAAAACGTACACTGATATAACCTTATCATTGTATCCGTGTTCTGTTTTTTCTCTTCTGCCTAAGATGATTATTAAAAAAGATCTCACTATTCCATTGAATGAATGAATGAATGCTTAATATCATGAAGATTTATTATCAACATACAGCGATCCTTCTTTTTTTCTCTAATTATATTCTTCAAATACTTCAAATTTGTATCACGCTTCATTACACACACATATATTTTATGTTACTTCATCTTGCACTATTTTATACTCTTATTTCTTCTTAACTAAATAAGTGACTTTTTGCCACGTCTTTAATTAGAAAAACAAGAATACAATATAAAGTCGTAACACACAATTATGTTTATATTATTATACATTGGGCTTAAAATATTATGATATATATTCATTAGATTACTTATACATTTTTCATATACATATAATTATACTAGATAATACTATTTAAAATCACTAATTTCTTATTTATAATGATTAATTTTTTTGAATTTAATATTTTTTCATTAGATATAAATTCAATAAAATATGTCTTTGCTCAAGTTAATTTTTTTATCTATTTTTTATTAAGTAGTTCTTGATTGTTATATTCCAAGCAAAAATTTAAAAGTTAGAAATATATATATATATATATATATATATATATATATATGTTATATAATA